GAGTGTTGCAGAGCTGCCTGAAACAGTTTCCAGAGCACAACAGACAGGCTGCCAAACAGGAAAGAAAAATGGTGACTTCGAAAAAGGCGAAGAAATAGTAGAGGCCAGCCTGCTTTAATGAAAAGCCAGTGTTTCCCAAAGCCACGGCTGAGTTTCATTGCATCAAATGCACGCCTCTTCTCGGAAAACTTGGTTCTTCTGACTTTCTGAACCACAGAACAGGGAAGAAATGACCTCGAATGCTCTTTGTCTCCTCCCCTTCCTCCTCTTCTCCAGATTCCTAACTCCCACCAACACTGTGCGTCACTTCTGTGTCTAATGAGCTGCGCTGCCTCTGTCCCTCCTCTTCTCCTCCCTTCTTTTCCCTTTTTGTTTCAGTGCTGGAGATGAACTCAGGACATGATGCAGGTTAGAAAGTGCTCTGCCGCTGAGCTGCACCCCAGACCTCTGAGCTGCGTTTTCAACAATCACAGATCATTTGCTCCCTTTCTCTCAGCCTAGAGCTGCCCTTGGTTCTATTTGATTCCTCTGTTCCTTCTAACAGTGTGGTGGCAAATGGGGTTTTTCTCTTACTTTCTCTCCTTTTCCTCCTTTTTCATTCCACTTGGCATCTGGGTGAACAATTACATTTTTTTAAAATTACTTTTTTTCTTTTTAAATATTTTATGTATTATTTTATGTGTCTGAGTGTATTGCCTTCATGTATGTAATTGCATCCTATCGTGCAGTAGCAGTGGAGGCGAGAGAGGGTATTGGATCCCATAGAAATGTTGTTATGGACAGTTGTTAGCAGCCACGTGGATGCTGGGATTTGAATCCAGGTCCTCTGTAAGAGCAGACAGTGCTCTTAACTGCTGAGCTGTCTCTCCCATCCCAGACTTACCTTTAATATAACAGAAACCAAATATTAACCATGTGCAACCTAGGTAAAAATTATGAATAAATATTATCATATCAGTCTTGTCCTTCCCTTTTCTGTAAATACATAAGCTATTATTCCTCATTCAAGACATGACTCTAAGGAGTGGAACACTGTTAAACAGAAACTAAGTGAAAACAGGTACAGATTTAGAACTGAAGCAAACAAAAGGAATGAGGAATATGTAAATAATTTTTCCAATTTTTCCTGAAACTTTGGATTGGTATTTTAAAAAAATTATTTGTTTATATGTGTGTGTGTGTGTGTGTCAGTATATGTATGTGCACATGCGTTCAGGCACCCTCCAAGACCAGAAGAGGGTGTCAAATCTCCCTGTATCTGGAGTTCCAGGTGGTTTTGAGCCACCAAACATGGGTAGTGGGAACCAAACTCAGGTTTTTTGGAAGATCAGTCTTCTCCCCAGTCCTCTGTGGTTGCATTTTTAATTCTTGAGACTTGACTTGAAAATAAATGTCAAAATTGATTCTCATTTTTTGTTTTGCCACACCCAGATCCAGTTCAGGGTTTTGTTTTGTTTTTTGTTGTTTTTGTTTTAAATAGTGATCTTCTTACATCAGAAGAAATAGATTCCAAACTCAAGACTAAGGCTCTGAAACCATAGTCAAATTCTAGCTGACTACATGTCACAGCCATGTCCATTTGGGCATGCACAAAGGAGAGATTCCCATGTTTTGAAAATGTTTGCATTTTTCTAGCTGGGTGTGGTGGCATATGCCTTTGATCCCAGCACTTGGGAGGCAAAGGCAGGCAGATCTCCATGAGTTTGAGTCCAGTCTGGTCTACATAGCAAGTTCCAGGACAGCTGGGGCTATAGGATGACCCTGTCTCAAAAAAAGACCAAAAAAAAAAAAGTTTACATTTTTCATAATAAAAGCAATAGATCTGGATTACTTTTATTTTCTTCTTAATCCCTATTAATATTTTCAGCTTCTACAATGAATACATCAATATTATTGGAGATACTTTTACGTTTCCAAAATAACACTTGTTAAAGACAGAAAACTAAATATTTTTTAGAGACTCTGAAACCAAATGATCTCAATCCAACTATGGCTAATATTTTATTTCTATGCAAAATCTTATTTAAAAATAAAAATACGAACACAAGAAACAAACGTTGCTCAACAGATATGGAATATTTCGTGATCTGTTAGTTTCATTTAGCATCGGGTCATAAGTGTTTTCATGTGGCATTGCCACCTCTCTCTAAGCAGTATTTTAATTTAATTGCATATATAATTATGTGGATGCAACCCAAATTACTGAGCCATTTCACTATTTGTATGTGTTGAAACAATTCTCTGTTATTAAAATAATATGTGATATAGGGACTGGAGAGATGGCTCAGTAGTTAAGAGCACTGGCTGCTCTTGCAGAGGACCAGGGTTTGATTCCCAGCACCCACATGGTGGCTAACAACCATCTGTAACTCTAGTTCCAGGGGAATCTGACATCCTCTTCTGGCCTCCACAGGCATTGCATGACACGGGTACACTTACATACATGCAGGCAATATACTCATACACATAAAATAAAATAAAAAGAATAAAACATAAAATATTAAAAAAGTGACATCAACCCAAACCAAGTATGTATGAAAATACCATAATGAATCCTGTTACTTTGTATGCTAATTAAAAATAATTGTGTAATTAGCATTTTAATGCAAGCATTCCCTGTTTCTTTCAGACAAATTTTTAGTGTTGCATTTTTTAAAACAGCTACACATATAGTCTGCAGAGCTTGTTATGAAAGCTAACTGCCTGGCCTCATGTTTCCCTTTCCGTTTGCCTTGCCACAGAGGCAATGACGGCTTTTAGCTAGTTCTTTTGCCTACTTAGTGTCACTTCCCTAAATAGCAGCTTTGAATGGAAACGTCTTGATTTTGTCTGCTGTAAGCATTATCTACTTGAAACTGTGCTACGGAAAATGAAGGTTCATTTCACTTTATTCATCCTCTCCCTGGCCCACCTTCTCATAAAGTCCTTTCCTATATTCCCAGTAGAGATATACTTTGCAACCTTTGTTTGGCATACTATGGCTACATAAATGTCATTTGAAACTGAGCCATAAGGTATACAATAGGCACTTTTTACACTTTTAATTTCTTCCATAACTTTTTGTTTGCTCAGAAGCTAATTGTATTGTTAATACCTTTGTTTTCTTTATAAAAATGTGTTTACCTTTGACTAAAATCTAAATTCTTCACTGGTTGTCTAAACTTCTCACAACATGCGGAAACGTTGGGCATCAGAGAACAGAAGTCGGGAAACGGAGAGAGATGGAGCCGGAAGAAAGAAATGGGGAAAAAGGAGACAACAGGCAATGCAGATACTGGGTATTGGAGGAGTATTTGTACTTCTCTCTCAGCTTTTCTTGGTAGGGACCTGGATGAGTGGGGGGTGGGCAGCTTCTGATGTCAATCCTTTGGTCTCCCTGGAGAGGGGGTCACTCATCTATTCTGCCTGGAGGTGTGGGAGAGGGTGGGGAATCTCTAGCCACTGTGTGCAGAAGCCCTTGGCCCCTCTGTGCTCAATCTCTAGGAAAGGAGTGTCTGGTTTTTGTTGTCTCTGAGGGCCATGCTTTGGCTCTGAAGACTGGGGTGGGGGCAGAGCTCCAATTGCTTCTAAAAAAAGTCCTTTAAGCCTTGAGCCAGCCCTTGGCCTTCACTTCCTGAGAGATCTGGCGCTGTCAGTCCCCACCCTTTGGAGGGATTCTGTGGTAGGAATTGAACTGCTTCTCTGCATTCTTTGCTGCCAATTTAGGGTTCTGGTTTTGGCCCTAAGTTATTTGCTTTCCAGCCTTCAAAACTGTGGTTCTATTTTTCTCCTTTCTCATATTACCTTGTCTTGCAGCTTGCTCCTATTAAAAATCCCACTTACTCTCATTCAGTGGGGGCTATGACTGCTCAGTCCATGATGTCTATGCCAGGCTGCACACACACCTCTCTGCAATCTTGATTACTTCCTTTGGACAGTGTCCAAGAAGTGGAATTTCTGGGTAGAATTTGCCACCCCTTTTGAGGCTCTTCCCCCTCCCCCTCCCATTTTGGGGCTCTTGATGAACTTGGCTAAATTGCTTTTCAACAGGATTATGTTCTCACCAAGTTTCCATGACTTGTGTCTTTTCCTGAGATTTTGTCTGCCTGGATCATTAAAAAATAAAATATTAGTTATTTTGACAAGGAAAATATGGACCCAGTTTTGGTACAATTCCCCTTAAAGAGTGATTTTTTTCAGTGAGTTGCTCCAGGTACAGGCAAGAAGCAGACAGATGAATTTGGCTAACTGACAACAGTATGGATGGCAGGGTGGGAAGGTGGGAGTGGGATTCCACTTTGCTTGGCAGCTCTATAAGGGGCCCTGTGGTTGTATACAGCAGGGAAAGGATCAAGGGTGGGCATGGGGAGGCCCTGAGTCTCTGCTGCCTTCAACTGTGGTATAAGCATCCCTGCTCCGGGGATGGACACAGTCACGAAAACAAATTGGATCAAAGAGAAACAATAGAAATGGAGCAAGATGCTTCCATCCAATTAACACTACCTTAAACTATACTTCCCATGGGAGAGACTGGAATCTTCCTGTGACTCCAGCTGTTTCTGTGCCATAGTCAAGGCCATCTTGTCTCACAGATAATGCTTTGGTATTTTGAGATATGTACTTTATTTTGCACAACACTGTACAACCCTGATACGCAGGACAACTTCTTCACATGTGGCTGAAGTGATTTCTGCTTCATATACTAAGGAATTTTTTTTAATTAAAAAAATCTTTTTGGTTGGTGAAATGGTTGAGCAGGTAAAGCTACCAAGTTTGGTGATCTGTGTTCCATCTCCAGGACCCTATATGGTGGAAACAGAGAATTGACTCTTGCAAGTTGTCTAACACACACACACACACACACACACACACACACACACATGAGTAAATGTTAAAAAAGAAACCCTTTATACTTCTGACAGAGCTCCAAAATAGGACGTAGAGTCCCTTTAACGCCTTTCACTCAACTTCCCCTAATATTAACACATGACTTAACCAAAATTACCACTGACATGCAGAAATTAACACCAATTAAAATGTTATTTATTGACCCATACACCTAATTTGAATTCTAGCAGTTGTCTTACAGAGGAGAAGAGCACCCTTGAGAGCTGGAATTGGATTGGCATGATCATTAGTTAAGCCTTAGCCTCGGTGTTGCCCACAGCTGGCCTGGCCTTCAGAGACCAGCTCTCATCTTCCCTTTGGACATAAACAATTTCTCAGAATACCAACATCAAACAAAGCCCCTCTGTGACCAGGATGGATCAAGACAAAACAAGGCCACTTTGTACTCACGTCTGAACACAAACAACAACATGAACATTGTTTAAGCCGAATGACCAAGCATCCCCCCTCCCTGGCCTGGGTCATAGGAGAAACCAAGTGAAGACTGTTGCTTTTCTAATCAGAGCTTCTAACTCGCTTCATTCTTCCTGTGCTGTACTGAGGATGTATTGAGACATGCAGTTATAGAATTACCCTCAGTTCCTCACAGCATCCAATTTAAACATTTCAAGTGAGCAGACATGTAAGTGGGGTTTTATATCCTTTCTTTCCTACACAAAAGACAGTGTCGTTCTTTCCCATTTAGCACTGTATCCTGTGAATTCACAGAGCCCTCCACAGTTCATCTGTACAGGGTATGGCACTGCATTATGTGGATCCTCTGTAGTTTATCCAGCCTCTGTCCTGTGTATCCACCTTTAGGGTGTATCTAATATGCAATTACAGTGCATAACTGCTTACTCATCAGAAATGATATGTTTGTCTCTCAGTTGCAATGAATACCATTATCGCAAAGAATAACTTCGATGTACTGATTTCTGCAGGAAGGACCACGGCAGGATTCAAAGGCAGGCATGTCTGTTTTTAGGGCCAATTTCTCCCTGTGGGATGCCACTTTGGCTTGAGGGCCGGTCTAGGCCTGCAGCCTTTCCTTGGTTACTCAAGTAGTAATGGGGTGTTCTTCTCTCCTTACCTGCCTCTTCAAAAAGCTCTAATGAGTGGGTCACTTGTACAGCTTGCCTTGGCTGGGCAATTTCTCTAATGCTTTCTTGGAGGGCTGTTATATCTGCAAATGCTCAGGTCCCCTGCTTGGGCACTGGTATTTTCATATGGTTTGAAGTTGTCCTCAAAGAGCCACATACCAATCAGAAAATATCCTGTGTGTTTGTGAGCTCAACTGGGTCAATATATATGGACAACAGGCCCAAGGTGAGTGGGGAGCCATGTCTCCATGAACCAGCAGAAAGCCTGGGACTATCACATTGGGTCAGTGTGTCCTCACTTTTCGTACACTGAGCACAGGTGGACTTGCTAAGTCTCCCAGTATCACCTGCTCTGGAGAATTCCCTTTAAGCTTGTTGGAGGGGTCAGGCCAGGGAAGGAGATGGGGATGGCAACTGTCCAGCAGCCTTTTATGATTGACCCAGAGTCCAGATGGGGAAGACAACAAAAATGGCAACTGTCAGACTGTCCAGTAGCCTGAGGTGTTGTGGTGGCACCTCTAGGATGAAATATAGGCTTAGGGTGGGGATCAGGCTCCCCTCCAAGATGGCACTGTGCTTTCCCTAGCTGTGTGGGAAAGCCTTTCCGTCAGGAGGACATCTGCTCTTTCTCTACATTTGCCTTCAAATAGAGACATCATGTTACATAAACAGGACACTATTCCTGCAAGAGTAAACATTTTTCTTCCCATTTTATACATGCAAAAAGTTATACCCTGAAAGGTAAACAACGTGGGAAAAGTTACACATTAACCAGAATAGTCACCATTTGATACCAGGTCTGTCTGATTCTGGAGCTCTGGATTTTTTCCCCCAAAGCACAATTCCAACAAAGTATTTTAACTCCAGAGAAAATATTCAGGCTCACAGAACAAACCACTAAAGCCAGCATCTTCCTGTGGAGGCACACTTGTGGGCTGGGCTGTAGTTTGATCCTCCCAATAGCTGCAGCTGGGAGACTGTTCTCATAGGCCTTTGGCATGGCAATTATTAAATATTTTATATTTCACACCCCCATCCCACATCTTCTCTCTTTGGGTATGGGAACTGAATGAATTAGCAAATGACAGCAAAACTCAATGCCAAGTGTAAGGATGATTTGTATCTGTATTTCCTCCCATGGGCCTCCTTGGTGGGTTTGCAATCTATTCAATTGGAAAGGGCTTGAGCTTAGCTCTGCTATCTCACCTTACAATTCTTAGTGATTTCTGAATAGTGGACCTAACATTTTAATTTTTCTTTGGGTTCCATAAATCAGATAGCTAGTCTTCTAGGCTAAAAGGTGTGGTTGATATAACTTGGTAAAATAATGCCTCCTATCAAATTCCAGGGAATAGGGAATACTTGATGTTAATTTTCTTCAGACTGAAGGCTCTTGAGTGTTGACTCATCTGTCTCCTTGCTATTGAGGACATGTGGCTCTGTCTGATGGGTGTATAGTAGGGTGTACAAAGAACACAGTGAAAAGGGCCGAAGAAGGCAGTCCTTGTTCTCAGAGCTTTTCCCCAACATCTGTACTGGATCTATCCCTCTGTTGCTATGGGGAACACAAAATGTTCCACATTGCCCCCAGGATCAGGAAGCTCCCAGCTGGTTGGCCAAGCATGATGCAGATCTTTCTGGAGGCAGCCTCAAATGGGGCACAGAAATGTGGTCCAGAAGTTCAGGGACAAGGTTCAGAAAGTGATCTCCAGTGGCTGGCCTATCAGGAAAGGCTCTACATCAACATGAAACTCAGGCAGGTTTTCAGTGATGCATAGAGCTTTGCATGTGGAGGAAGGAAACTGTTGGCTTTGGATAGGAATGCATCCCACAGCCTCCACATCACGTCATGCATTTGCGGCACTGGGGACTGAAACTAGGGCCTTGAGCATGCTAGGCAACTGTTCTACCACTGAGCTACAGCCTCAGCCCAGATCTTACTTTCCAATTGATCAGGGTAGACTGGAGTTGAGTATTGGAGGTTGATTTCTCTGGAGACTGATACCTAGGGGAGTTAGGAATATGTATTGATTTCTGGCTGGTGCTATAACAAATTACCAAGAAGGTGGTAGTTCAAAATAGTGGAAATGTATTCTTGTCACAGTTCTGGAGGTAAGGAATCTGAAACCAGTTTCACTAGGTAGAAATCAAGATGTCACGTGGCACATTTCCTCTGGAAGCTCTGGAAGAGAGTCCATTTCTTGCCTCTTCTGTCTGCTGGAATTCCTCGGTATGTCTGTGTCATTCCACACTTGACCTTTGTCTTCATATCACCTCCTCTTCTCTCTCAAAACTTCCTTAGTCTTTGTCTTATGAGGACACATGGACTGGCTCTTAGGACTTGTCTAGACAATCTGGGGGAAACCCAGGATCCTTAACTACATCTTTTGTTACATAAAGTAACTGTCACAGGTTCTGGTGATTAAGATGCGGACATGCCTTTCTGAGAGCCATCATTTCTGCCACTACTGGACACAACCTGTTTAATCAACACCTGTGAAAGGAATTCAGAGGAAGAGGATAAGCACAGAGAAGTTTGACTAGGATGTAGGCCCAGTAGAGTCTCAACTTGCTGGATAGAGAGTACAGGAATAAGAATTGCCTATCAGAGTTGGAGCTAAGTGGGTCAAACTGACTGGGCCATCACACCGCACCAAGCCCAGTGACTGAATGTAGATATGCCTTAGGAAGGGTATGGCTTCCATTGAAGCCACCAAGTGGCCAAAGTAGAGCCCAAAGGGCTGACAGCCAGTGCTGCCTTCCAACCACACTCTTGCACTGGGGAGATAGTTACCCGTTGTCAAGTTGGGAGCCTGGACAGCTCTGTTCTGTGTCTATCACAGAAAGGGAGTGACAGGGTCAACAGATGGCAGGGGTAGGGAGGAAGTTTCCTGGAGGTGGCACATAAATGGAACCTGTGATCTTCAGTCATGCTGACAAGAACAGCACATTTGCTCCGTCCTGAATATTTAAAAGAGAAGGGACCTCCTGAACCGGAAAAAAATCAGGAGCTGGGAGCCATTTCCAGGCTATTCCAAATCAGACGGGTAGTTTTTTCTTTGCCCTCTCTTGGGACTCCATCAAGTAGACACAAAATCTCTTTGTTCTGATTCAGAAGGAGTCTAGGGCTGTGGTTCCTGCCTCAACTCAGCATCTTCACGGGTTACATGATGATTCTGAAGGAATGTTCTTGAGTTGCAGGCCACTTTTTCCTTCTTACCTTCCCCACAGACACATGGTAGAGGGGCAAGAGGAGGGTTACTTCAGGCCCAGGAATGGGTCATCTCTTAACTCCCTGGGGGCCTCATTCAAAGTCACTCATCATGAGGAAACATTTTGCAGAGGAAAAGCCATGGTCCCACTGGGCCTGGCGCATGCACTGGAGGGTCTTGGGGGCAACCCTATGCTCCTTTCTATCTTTGGAGAGTATGGGGTTATGGCCCTTTTCCTAGGCTCTGCTAGGAGGCTGACTGGAAGGAATCAAGCCAGTTGGGAGAGAGCAGATGGTTCAGGTGGGAGAGGTGGTCAGACTTCATCCCCCACAGCCAGCCAGAGGGCAGCCATTCCAATGCTTCTTGGGCAGGCCAAGCCTGCTCTTGCAAGGGCTTGGCCTGTCCTCCTCACTGTGGTGGTTGACATACCACAATATCCAGAGCAGTCAAATGTCAATCCTGAAAGGCCACCTGGTAAACAAGAAGATAGGACTTTAGGAATCCACTTTTAAATGTGAATCCAATTAGAATTGAATAGTCCAGGGTGAGAGTCAGAAGCTGATGGGGAAAGCAATAAGGGCATGGATTGGCAGGGAGGGTTTCAGAACTATCCCAGCAAGTCACTCTTCCTCTGTGGGCTTCAGTTTCTGCACATCCGTAGTGAGACCTGTTAAGCCAGGTGTTCTGACCTTCAAGGTACTGGTTCAGAGGTAGAAGGAAAGGCGAAGACTGAACAGTCCCCAGGAGTAGAGGGCTGCCTGGGAGGCTGGGTTCTAGAGCAACCCTTTGCTATTGTTAAAGAAGTAGGGTAAGATCATACATGGAGGCCCATGACCCACATGGTTAAATATTTAAAAGGCACAACCAACTAATTGTTGAATAAATTGTATTCTATTGGCTGACTTTGAAAAAAATGTTTTTAATGACCTATAAGGCCACATTTGAATGAAAATTGCGAGACTGCTTAGGGTTATGCATTGCAGCCTGTGGCATGGAGAGAGCAGGTGTTGGTGCCCGGCTGTGGCTACAGTGAGCAATGGGACTGATTTGGTGGCTCAGCTGCTGTATTCTGAAATCTGTTTTTGCAGCTGGGCTGCAATCACACTTCCCACAGCCTGTACTGGCCAGCCCTGAGCCCACAGGAATACTAAAAGGGGTTCATTTATTGGAGAAAAGAGATCCCTTCATTCTGCCTCGACTACATCCCAACAACTTTTCCTCTGTTGCCTACTCTTTGCTTGGGGTCAGAATGTAAACTGACTTGTTCTTCAGCCTTCACCTGGCCCCTCCTTCTTGCTTTCCATACAGGCATGACCTCTAAGGAAACCCATGTAGTCCTGTTTTGACACCCGCTTGTTAGAGGACCTGGTCAAGCACATTGGCCTCAGTTGGTCCCCTTCTCTTCTTGGCCCCTTCCTTCTTCCTGGGGTGTCTTCTGTACATTTGTAAGGTGTCCCAGGTGCCCAGAGGGCTCAGGAGCTGGTAGTGAGTGATCACATCACTTTGACCTGTAGTCTCCTCTCCCTGCCGATGCAAGAGAGTAGGATGGGGGGTCCCCTTGTCTGATTCTAAAGTTCCAGTGGTCTAAAGCCCTGCCTTTACCCTACCTTCCACCCATACCAGTCTCATGGGACTTTTCTCACATGCTTCTGGAAAATGCTTTGTGGGTCGTAAGCTTGTGTCCAGGCCCCTCACATCTCTGTCTTCTTTCACTTGTGAGAGTCTAGTAGACTGAGAGGAAATGGAGGTTCAAAGATATCGAGTGTCCACACCTGGGCCTTCCAATGTCCTCTTCCTGACTCTGCCATCATGTCTCAGCCAATGGTGCCAATCATGTGGTGTCACACAGTTTCTCTCCCTAGTTTGTGTGTTCCATGGCAAATGAATGTGCTTAACTATTTAAGATGGACTTGCTTCTTCCAATTTGGCAGTAACCCAAACCCAAATGGAGGAACATGTGGGTTGTCCTTTCAGGCTATTTGGGTGCCAGTCACTCAGAACCTATCACTATACTTGCAGTCTGGGTAGCGGTAGGCAAATCTAGGGTCACAGGTTCTCAGAGGTCTCAAGATGTCCTTCAGCCGGCTGGAGGCCCTGAGCACTTCTGGGTCTGTGCAGGCATAGTCGCTGCACTGGGTGAGGGCAGAGTCTATGTCCTTTTGTACTGGGGAGGGGAACTTCCCCTGGAGAAGTTGAGGCAGCAACTGCTGACACACCAGCACCAGGCTTTGCTTCTCAGGGATAGTGTCACAGGAGGGCAGCTGGACCTGGCAACCGGAAACCAGGCAGCTAAAAATGTCTTGGTTCTCTCTGGCCAGGGCAACTACTTGGCTGCCTAGAAGAGAAATGGAAAATATCAGACACTCTACAACCTATTCTCCCTGGGGGAAGGCACTGCCAATTAGAATTGCTGGGTAGAATGGTTTAGTCCCCAAGCATTTCCCTGTCACCACAAGATTTAGGGCTCAGGGACATAACTCCCTTCTGAGAATAGCATTGGAGAAACACTTTCCTTTCCATGTTTGGGTGTTAGCCAAACATGGAAAACCCACTCATCCCTATCAGGAGCTGGGCTTATAATTGTAGAAGTCACAGTCACGTTTTCACTCTCCCATTACTACTGAATTAGGAAGTCAGGACGTTATTAGGACTGTTTTCACTGCCCATTTAAGAGGGAAAGTCAGGGAGAAACAGATCATCCAGGATGTGCATTCAGCAAGCTGCTGTGGGGCTGACGCTGACTAATTTGCACTTGCTGGAATCAGCCTTTCTTCTAATTTGATTCTTCTTTCTAATTTTTAAAATTTTAAAACATTTTATTATTTTTGTATGTATATTGCCTGCATGTATGTAAGTGCACCCATGATATGAAATGCCTGTGGAGGTCAGAAGTGAGCATCAGATTCCCCTGGAGCTGTAGTTAAGGACAGTTGTTAGCCAGCATGTGGGTTCTGGGAATCAAACAGGGGTCTTCTGCCAGGGCAGCCAGTGCTCTTTACCATGGAGCCATGTCTCCAGCCCCTCTTCTTTTATTTATTATTTTTAATTTATGTGTATGAATGTATTGCCTGCATGTATGCAAGTGCACCCATGACATGTAGTGTTCATGAAGAGGACATTGCATCCCCTGGAACTGAAGTTACAGATGGGTTGTTAGTTGCCGTGAGGGTGCTGGGAATAGAACCTGTATCCTCTGCAAGAGCAGCCAGTGCTCTTAACTTCTGGGCCATCTTTCCAGCCCCCTAATTTGTTCTTCTTAATAAAAGCAAATTGGGAAATTAAGGAGTATAATTTCTTTCTGTTTTTGTAGTATTTGTTTAAAGAGTCAGAAATGGGAAAAGAAAATCTTTTGTACTCTCTTATCAAGCTCTGAATTTGGTCGCCTTGAGAACTGGGATGCTTAATGGGTTCTAGAACACTGGGAGAGCCTTTGTACAGAGTGAGAAACAGTTTACTTATATACCTCATCTGATTCTGTGTTTTTGTAATTTTATTTTAATTTTTGAGACAGGGCCTTACTATGTAGCCCTGACTGGCCTGGAACTCACTATGGAGACCAGACTGGTCTCAACCTCATAGAGATCCGCCAGCTTCTGCCTCCCAAGTGTGGGATTAAAGGCATGTCCCACCACACCTGGCATTTTGTAATTTTAAAACTTCATAGAAAAGTCAGTGTGTCAACATGGATTGCAAAGTGTACGGTGTGTCAGGCAGATAGTTAACTCTTAGACTAAGATCACCTGAGGAGAAAATTTCTGAGGGGGGAGCAGGGCCTTCAAATTGTTCATGACTGAGATAAAGAGGGTTCATTGGGGGCCATACTACCATGGGCAAGGCCAAATTCACTTTCCCTTTAGAAATGGAGGTGGAGCAGAAATTCAAATAGGGGTGAGAGGACAATTTACACGACAGCTAATAGTCCCCAAATTCGGATTGCTCTGTAACAACCAAAGAGTTGAAAAGCCCAACAGTATGACCTCCTCCTTAGTTCCTGTCACCCTTCCCCTGTCCCCCTCAGCTGCTCACGTTGAGTACCTTCCTGCTTGTCGATGACACCCAGTGCGCTGGCATCTCGGATGAACAGATGCCCATTGTCAAAGATGCCAAACATGCCTGCTTCAACATGGGTGAAGTAGAAGAAATAATTCAAGTCATTGTTCCTCAAGGACTCCAGGACCCCAAGGAGCTGGTAGGCAAGGTCAGCAGCCTGCTCTGGGGATGCATTGTAGAATTCTTGCAGTGGTCTGGTGCTGCTGCTGATCAGGAATCTGCCACAGGAGCCCAGGTACTTGGGCAGGGGCCAACCCTCCGCCCCAGGGAAGATCTGTCAATCCAGAAGGAGTAGGCATTAGAGATTGGGAAAGAAATCTCATGGAGACAGCTTACTTCTACCTCTCATGGACAGCATAGACAAAAATCAACCTTACACTGCCATTCCAGGTTTGAAAGAACACACCAATGAAGTGTCACACCATCTTTTTATACTTCTTGAAATATGACAAGGGCCTGGCCTTCCCCCACTTTTTGTATTGCTGATGGAAGGATTCAAGAAGGAAGGAAGCTCCTCTCTTTCTGGTGCAGTGGATCAGATTTCAACAGTGTCTCCAAGTGGGGCCTGAGAAGGCTGAGGGACCTACAGGGATTTTCTGTGGTACCTTGGCTTCGGGGGACTATGTCTATTTTAAGAGCAGTATCACTCAAAAAAATGACTAGTTTGTGATTTTCCAGATATCACTGCTTAAGAATAGGCTATAGGAAAAATAATAAAGGATCACATTCAGGGTAACTTAAAGAGAAAAAATAAATAACAGCGTCCAGGGTATGGTGGCATGCACCTACAGTTCCAGCTCAGGGGGGCTGAGGCAAGAGGGATGAGGCCCATTTGGGCAACAGAACTCATAAACAAACAAATAGAACAACACAAGTACCTGGCTTTGGGCTAGGTCAAGTATAATGCAGGTAGCTGGCCCTTGGAAACGTCCCTGCTGAATACTCAAGGATGCTTCTCAATTGTCTGGAACCTCCCAAGTAGACTAATACACTGGTCCAGGGAAGCATAGTCCAGCCCGTCTCTATGTAAGAGTTCCCAACTTCTGGATTTGTAAGATGGAAAGTGGGGAGAAAATCCTAGCTGGATTTTTCCTGACCCCCCCCACCCTTTTTAAATGCAGTGGTATCTAGAACTGATGTTTCCTTAAACTATGGGTGAACTAACAAAAACTGTAACCACCACTTTCTCCCTTGTTTTTCTTCCTAAGTAAACAAAGGTAAGTTATGCTTGTGGCTCAGTGGTAGAGCACTTGTCTAGTGTGCACAAGGTCCAGGGTTCCATCCCCAGCTCTACAGAAAACAAAACAAGGACTTCAAAGCCATTCCCCTTTCTAATAATTTTCTGGAACCCTCTGTCCCTTTTAAGTCAAGTTAGGAAGAGCTCATGCCCATTTGTTCTTTGTGTTTCTCCTGGTCAGAGGGACCTGACGCACTACGTGTCTCCAAGGACCTACTGTGCCTGTCAAAATGTCCAGTTACAAAGCCATTCTTAGGCTCCATGCCATACCCTTTCTGGGCAGAGTAGATTATCTCAGCAAACATGGTCCCAGCCAAGCTCTCTCAGGAACCAGGCCTGGATGGTAACCAGGGTGCTGGCAATGGTTAGAATAATGTTAGTAAGAGACCTCTGAGAAGACCTGTGAGCATCCAGGGCAAGCAGCAATTCCTCCGCCATTAGTATTTCAAATACCAACAGTACCAGGAAGGTTTTAGTAGGATGAGGATGGCCTGTGACATCTCTGACATCAAGCACCTCAGGGTTTGGGTTCCCTGGCTGACAGTGGTTAAGTGACTTCAGTCAAGACACTTCATGTCTGAGAGTCCCAACTAACTTTGTTTCAACAGTGGAGATGTAATAACATTCCAGAAGGTTTGTAGTGAGCATTAACTGACAGTGTTGATAGCCAACCTTTGGCAGAATGCATGGCAGGTAGCAGGTGCTCAAGAACTGACAGTCTTCATTTCACTGTGCAGTCAGCCAGCTGTTTGGCTAATATTTAGGAACCATCTTTGTTGTGGCTCCTTTCTCTTCTACCTTCATCTTTTCTTTTCTGTTTTGAGACAGGGTCTGGTTATGTAACCAAACTGACCTTGAACTCACTATATCGCCCAAGGGTAGCCTGGAACTCATAACGATTGTTCTGCCTCACCCTCCCAAGTGCTAGGATTACAAGCACGTGCCACCAAGCACAGTTCTCCCTCCTTTTTTCTTTTCCACTCTCCCTCCCTTCTTCTCCCCCCATTCTCCTCGTCTTACCCTTCTTCCATCCCCTTCTCCTCCCCTTCCTCCTTCATATGCTCTGCTCTCTTTCTGGTTTCCTTTCTGTCCATTACATGACTTCAGGGACTTGACCCTTGGGGTCAGAGGGATTTGGCATTCTATGGATGTTTGTTCACATGGTAAGTACCTCTGTCTTTTTGACCAGTGTGACCCTGGGTCCTACTGCATCCTCATTTATTTGACCACTCCCCAATTGATGGATATTTGTATTACTTCTGTTCTTTACTCCTTTCCAAACACAGCCACAGGGTGCATCTTTGAATGACTGTTTCCCTATTGCCTGTGCTTGCTCAATCTTACTTATCATTGAGGCACAGATTAAAGTTGCCCTCCAGCTGCCTCAACCAGTGAAGGTAGCTGTTGAACCTTCCTACCCACATCTCCAGCCCTGTGCTCCCACACCTCTTTCCTTGCTAGCCACCATACTGCAAAAGCCATCAAACATTTTCTTGATGCTGCTAAAGTCACAACACAGATTCTCAGCCCCAAACACATGCAGGGAGAAGAGGATAGAGTTCTACCCAGGGTTGGTCTCTGAGAGTCTAAGATGGTACCACTACCTGGGGGGGCTCGTTGAAGAATTGTTGGAGGAAACTGCTGAGTACCTGCAGAAGGATGGGGTGCGTGTTGACAGCGAGCGTGTAGAGGAGACGCAGCTTGTCGCGGTCCGTGAAGTGGTCCATAAAGATGCTGCCAGCGTCGGCCACCTCAGCATACCGCCGAACCACGCGGTCTAGGAGCCTCTGTGAAGGGCAGCGCAGAAGGGGACTGGCCAGGCCCTATAGACGAGAGAGAGAGAGAGAGAGAGAGAGAGAGAGAGAGAGAGAGAGAGAGAGAGAGAGAGAGAGAGAGAGAGAGAGAGAGAGAGAGAGAGAGAGAGAGAGAGAGAGAGAGAGAGAGAGAGAGAGAGAGAGAGCCCAGATGGGAAGAGGTGCCGAACCCTTGTAGGGGGCACAGACATAGGGTTGGAGGCCCAGATGGGTGGTGAAGGAGACACCTCTGGGAGGTGGGAGAGGATGTTGAGAAAGAGGGTGGAGATCCCTGCATGGGAGGACTCCTGCAAGTCGGGGTAGAAGAAAGCCAAGTAGGCTATGCAGGAATGGGGATGGTGGGGCCACAGAGGCCAAAAGTAGAAGATGGCACAATTCAGGGACCACATCGTAAAGGGGAGCCCAGGCTTTGGAGTTTCACCTGCCATCCCAGCATGCTGCACAGAGGTGGCCCTTTGCAGTGGCTCTGTGTGTGGTTGAATGTAGGAGTTGGGAGTGGGGGGGCGGAGCATGAGGAAGCCTCTGAAGAAATTACTGTTTGAACACAGTTGGCATGACAGTTATACAAAGTAGTAGGTTTCTTCATAGCATTTTCATACGTATATGTCATTATACTTAGCTCTCATTCATCCCCTCTGCCAACGTCTCCTCCCCACTCTCTGGGTGGTCCCTTTCCTTCCTGCACATAGTCACATATATTCCATTAGCCTCTCTTTCTCCACCTTCCTTAAGATTGTTTCCTCCCCTCTCATGATCCATTTCATAGTTTTCTGACTGACAAAAAAACAAATTTCCACTTACATTAAAGTAAAATCTTCTGCATAGCGAAAGACACGATACAGTGAAAAGACAGCTACAGAATTAGAGAAAATATTCACCAGCGATCCATCTGATGGGATTACCATCTAGAACATATAAAGAGCTACCACACCTAATGACCACAAAGCTAAATCATTTAACCAGTATGTGGGCTAGTGAACTGAACAGACCATTCTCAAAAGAAGAAATACAAATGATCAATAAGCAATTGGACAAAATGTTCAGCATTCTTAGCCTTCAGGGAAAAGTGAATTCAAACTATTTTTAGATCCCATCTCACTCCAAGCAAAATAGCTATGGTCAAAAAAACAAATGATGACAAATGTTGGCAGAAATGTAGGGAAAGGTGAATCATTATTCACTGCTGATAGGAATGTAAACTTGTGCAACCACTATGGAAATTAGTATGGAAGTTTCTCCAAACCTAAAATTAGAACTGCAATAAGAACCAGGTATATTCTCGGGTGTATACCCAAAAGACTCTAAGTCAATATACTGCAGAGACACTTGCACATCTGTTTTTTTTTCCCCACACTATCCACAGTAATGAGGAAGTGGGACCAGTCTAGATGTCCATCAACACATGAATAGAAAATGTAATAGATATACACAATGAAATTTTATTCAGCTGCAAAGAAAAATGAAATCATGACATTATTAGGAACATGGATGGGACTGGAAACCATTAAGTTAAGTAGAATAAGCCAGACTCAGAAAGACAAGTACTCTATGTTCACTATCACATACAGAACCTAGACACAAGAATGTCCTTGCTGGATGCCAGGTATACTGGCGTGCACCTTTAACCCCAGCCCTCAGGAGGCAGAGGCAGGCAGATCTGAGAGACTGAGGCCAGTATGGTTCACATGATGACTTCCAGGTGGGCTGGGACTAGGGAGATCCTGTCAAAATAACACCAACCCCACCCCCCAAAATGTCTTTGTTGTGCTGGGCCCACATAGTGGTGGCACCTATCTTTAATCTCAGCATTCAGGAGTCAGCTGGGACCACAAGGAGACCCTGTCTCAAAAAAGGCCTTGCCTATGCCTGTATATTCAGGTGTTTTTCCTATGCTTTCCCCTACAAACTTCGAAGTTTTAGGTTTTACATTAAGATCTTTAATCCATTTTAAATTGATTTTTATGCAGGAAGCAAGATACGGATTCAGTTTCATTCTTCTATAAGTAGAAATCCAGTTTTGCTAGAGTCATTTGTCAAAGAAGCTGGTAAAATAAAGACACTTTGTGATGGCTTGCCCATTAACCCTCAGCCAGTTGTTATCTTTCCTTGGAAGGTTTTGACTGATAAAAGTTACCCTTTAAATGGGAATGTGCACCCTATACTAAGGTTAATCTAGAAACCCAGACAACTTTCAAAACCATAAATAACTACTCAGTGGCATCTAACTGTACTCACAGCTACTGGGGACACCGGGAGAGAGGGTTACTTGGATCCAGGAGCTGCAAGCAAACCTAAAATGAATAAATACCAATGAATGACCCTCTCAGGAGGGAATCACAGATACTTGGAGGAGAGGACATGGCTGCCCTCTCAAATCATTTCAAAGAGCTAACTCTGCCTCTTTGAAAATTTGAAGGTTTTTTTTTTTTTGACACAGCAAGAACAACTTCAAAAGAGTGCCAGGTTACTGTTGGATAGGCCCTTGAGCACAAGGGCGACACACTGAGTCCATTTGGCCATTAGAACCATGCTGTACCTTAAAGTGACAAAAACAAGGGAGAGCTGAATCTTAGATGTCTCCTTTAAAATACTCCCTGTCCTGTTACCTTTTTGGCACCTTAACTCAGACTTAGTTTACAAGCCTTGTAGAGCATGCACGCAAAAGGCTTGGCATGGAGAGAGGCACATGCTCTGTACTCAGTAAATGGCACTGTCATAGTCTTCAGCATCACCACCATCAGTGCTGTGTCTACATATGCTCTCCATAGCCATCCATGCTGTTCTCCATGCACTTCTAGCTGAAACTCCCTTCCCTCTTGATGGATACATATGAGGTACATTGAGTTCATATGATGGGTGATCAGCATAAAGGCTCTGTCTTATGGAGCTGTTGGTGAAGAGTTAAATTAATTATTCAGACTCTTTTTGAGGATTTATATTTGGGATCTATGTGAGAAAGGGTATAGGACAGACCTACGAAGAAAGTGAGAGATGCCATGAACCACGATGATTCAGGACTTATGAAAGTTTAGAGCAAAAGAGGCATGGTTGCTGGATGCCAGAGCTCAGGGCCTAGAAGCTTCTATGTTAAACTCTGGGTCAAGGATGCTGCTGTGATTTGGCTGTGTCCCTCAAAATATTATGAGTAGAAGATTAATCTCCAAAGTCATGTTAATGATATTTGGAAGTAGGATCTTTGAGAGGGATCATTGGATGAGGTCAAGAGGGTGGGGCCCCCCAAATGGCATTCATGGCTATAAGAAGAGGAAGAGAGATGTGAGTTAGCATGCTGGCTGATGTTTCTGCCATGTCATGATGCAGCAATGAAAGCCTGCACCAGATGTTAGTGCCCTGCTCTTGGACTTCCCAGCCTCAAAGCCCTTAGTGAATTAAATTTCCATTGTTTTTGAAATTAATTACTTTAAAATTTTTTATGTGTATGAGTGTTTTGCCTGCATGTAACTGCACTTGTGTCATGTAATGTCAGTGTAGGTAAGAAGAGAGTACCAGATCCCCTGGAGCTAGAGTTTCAGATGGTTGTTAGCTGCCATGTGGGTGCTGGGAAGTGAATGCAGGTCCTCAGCAAGAGCAGCCAGTGTTCTGAGTTATCTCTCCAGCCCCTAAATCTCCATTCTTCATAAATTGGCCTGTGGTATTCAGGTATAGGGACAGTCAGGGTTGCCACAAAATCCTTTTCCAGAGTAGGCTCACTGCATCTTTGTTCATTGTTCTAGGGAAGCTAAGCAGTCAACCAATCCAGGATGGGGTTTTATTGAGGCACAAGGGAAGGGCAGTGGGTACAGATAGGAAGACCCAAACCTACTGAGACTTAACTTTTGCTTGTGTAAGGAGGATAGTGGTGTCTTTTGTTTTTAATCTCACAAGAGTGGCTAAGAGAGATAAGGTGCCATTTAGAATCTTTTAAAGTATTCAACATTCTGAGTCCTGGAAAACCATATTATGATCAAGCTCATTTCCCCTTATTAGTCATCTGACTTGGTTCTGAGTGACTTTTAGCTGTTTTCAAAGCAAATGCTACTCAAAAGGCAAAAATTTATCAGTACTAAACACATCCAAATATTTGCTCTGATGGAAATACAAATGTATGAAAGAAAAGAACATCAATTATCCTGAGAAAGAAGAATCTAAGACCAGAAGTATGACTTGTCTCAGTAAGGTCACTCGCTAGAGCTAGATTTAGAATGCTGAAAGAAATGCTAAAAAAATGAAGTTTTACTTTGAATGAATTTAGCTGTTCTCAAGCTCTCTTAGTCTCAGCAGAAAGAAGAGAAAGTTTTAGTGCTAACAAGCCTACTTTCCAGTTATATACATTTCATGTGATTTTGTTGTTAAGTATGTTTCTGAAACAGAGCTGAGGTTAATCATGTATCATAGTTAATCAATGAGCCATAATTAAGATGACAATTCAATAAATGTCTCAATTGTTATGGATAATTAAACCAAAAGTCACTGTATATTTCTTTAACCTATATTGTTTTCAAAACAGTGAAAACTCCAGTTTTGTTTGTTATTAAGAAAATATCTCACAGTTCTATTCCTACTCTAATAGAATCTTGTTCTTTTACTAAAGTCCTTTGTGGTTATTTTTTTTCCTCTGAAATGCAGCCACAACAGGAGATGTTTTGGCATGTTAAATTCTATTCTACAAGTATCTGGCAATACAGTGATGGTTTTGAAGTAACCACATAGGTGATTTTAAATGTTTAGAAATCCAGAAAAGATCCTTGTAGCTCTCAGACATGGGAGTTTCCAGGCAGAGTTCACCTTCACAGCTTACAGGTACTAGAGGCAGAAGAGAAGCTGGAGGCAGACAGTCTTAAATCATTTCAGGTTTATGATAGGTCTCTTCTCCCTTAGGAAGTTACTCTCTGTTGCCACCTGTCTAGGCTGATCAGCCCAGACTCCCTGAAACTCAGTCACTGACGCGAAATCAACTGCAAAGGTAGAGGCAGAGCAGGAAATGAGCCCAGGCGGGGAGGGTCAAATTT